CATCAAGGAGCTGACCTACCAGGTGCGGGCATGGTGGCTGCTCTGGGCTGGATCCCCTGCACCACCGCCTGAAGCCAGGGTGATACTACCAACAGGAATGAAATGTTCTCTCTTAGCCTCCCCCAGGGCGAGGAGTGGGAGTGCGGCCCCCGGCTGCCCCGTTTCCACTCTGCCGAGCCCTGTTCTCCCCTGACTGTCCCCTGGCTAGAGGTCAACCTCTGAGCCTCTTGGCCTGGGAGCTCTGCCTCCAAGCTCACCCTCTACCTGTCCCCTGGGGACAACACCCAAAGCTCCAGACAGAGCTCACCCAGCACAGATTCCCAGAAAGCAAGTATGCCACCAAGCTCTGGCTGGGTGCCATGACCACCAAAATACACCAAAAACTACCCCGAAGTCATTCAACACATCTCAGAACTTTTTGGTTTGTTTTTTAGAATCAGACTCCTAATTAGATTTTGCTTCTGTTCCAATCCAGAAAGTTACCATCTCGAGACACACATGTCCTTAGATCAAGTCTCTGTCATTTTCCTGTATCCCGGGAAAGCTCAGTATGCTGTCCCAGCGTTACTGCCAGTGCGTGCTGGCTTCTAGGACAGGAGTGCTTATCCTCCATGGGGCCCCAGGACCCTTAAGGGCCTCCTCCCTGGAACAGTGCACACGCATGGTTTTGTGCAGAATTTCGGGATTCCATCAGCTCCCTAGACTCTTTCCTGAAACAAAACATTAAAAATATTAATAGTTTTTGATGGTAAAAAAAAAATTATAAGGCGAGTGCAAGAGTTTGTTAAGGATCAGAAAGAAGTGGGTGAAGATATTACATTCCAGGTAAAGTCAACAAGCGGGGGGAGGGGACAGGCTGCCTCCCATGACCATGCCCTCCTCACTCCTAACCACCCCGCCCCCCAGACGGAGGAGGACAGAAAGAACCTGCTGCGGCTGCAGGACCTGGTGGACAAGTTGCAGCTGAAGGTCAAGGCCTACAAGCGCCAGGCCGAGGAGGCGGTGAGTGGCCCTGCTAGGGCCTGGGCCTGGAGGAGAGACCCCGGGGAGCTGCGCCCTGCCCCCGGCTGGGAGGCTGAGAGAACCTCTGGCCTCCTCTCACCTCAGCCTCCCCGTCCCCGAACCCCCACAGGAGGAGCAGGCCAACACCAACCTGTCCAAGTTCCGCAAGGTGCAGCACGAGCTGGATGAGGCGGAGGAGCGCGCGGACATCGCCGAGTCCCAGGTCAACAAGCTGCGGGCCAAGAGCCGCGACATCGGCACCAAGGTGGGTCCCTTCCCTGGGCCTCACTAGTCGCCCCGTGTCAGCACATCCGCCAACATCAGTGCCCCTCAGACCGAGCCCACTCATGCCAGGGATGCCTCCTCTTCATTCACCCCCCCACAACTGAACCCTGGAGGCCCAAAGGGCCAGGTAATGCAGTCATCCGTGACTTCTAAGATTCTTCCAGCTCTAACTTTCAATGACTTTGTGATTCCCAGCCCTAATGTGGTCAGCAACCTTAGAAGACCCCAATTTGTATACACCCACTATGTCCCAGTTCCCCCCAACTGCTGGTCTTCTCTCATCTTCCACCTAGTTTTGGCCTATAGCCTAGTAACACAGCCCTAAAGTGGACAGCCTAGAGGACCCCCTTGCCCTCACTCAGGCAGCTTCCCTCTGGCCGACCTCAGGGCCCTCACCCCTCCACACCGACCCCTAGGACACATCTCTCACCACCAGGGGGGCCTCCCTCAGGCCCAGAGCGGTCCCCCACCCCATTGGGTGCCCCATCTCCCCTTTGTTTTCTGTGCCCGTCCCTGCCCAACACCCACCTTCCCAGAGTTAATTTGGACTTTGTTTCCTTTCAAAAGGGCTTGAATGAAGAGTAGTTTTGCCACATCGTCTTGATCGGCCCCATCCTGAGGGTGCTGATGAAGCCCCAGTTCCAGGGCCTCTATAGCAGCCCCTTTGGAGGAAGCAGAATAAAGTTATTTTCCTTGAAGCCAAGATCCGGCCTCCAGACTCTTCTTCACTGCCCGCCAGCCACAGGGACATGAACATGGGGTGGGGGGGTGGCTCAAGGGAGGAGGGGCCGCTTCACAGACAGCCCAAGGAGGCCTTCCTGGAGAGCCTGGAGGCTCTGAGCATCCTTGGGGCAGCACTGGCCCAGATGGTCCCCTTCGTCTCCTCCTCCTCAGCAGGTGATACCTGTCCTCTCAGCCCTCTCCCTGGTCCAGAGACCCGCCCCTCAGGGTTCAAAATTTAGAAAAACCCTTAAGTCTTGCTTAGAGCATGCGGAGCCCATCTGCTGTGGACTTAACGCTGACCGACACGACCCCCACCACCGACAGCACCACTGAGGGCTGCTGGGAGAGGGCCGCCGGGAGAGGTTTAAGTATAGGGATGCCCTCTGAGGTGTGGGGTAATGGCAGGTGTCTGAGAGGGCACAGGGACTTGTGACTGCAGTCCATTTTACCCTTGTAGACACAGCCACCACTGTCTCCAACCACCCCGAGGCCAGGGCCCCCACCCCACCACAGCCAGAACTGTACCCTCAGCCCACCGTCTTCAGATCCCCCTTAGGTCCCTCTCTGTCCACAGCGCTCCTTTCTTCTCCTTCACCCCTTCCTGCTGTGACTTCCTTTCCCAAGACCCTCCTCATCTGGGCTTGCTGGAAGATGAGGCATCTTTGGCCCATTTATGGCTGGCCATCTGGAGGGGAGGCAGGCAGATGAGGGACTGTGGAGAGGAGAGTCCTGTGTGAACAGGCCTCTGGCGGGAGGTGGGGGGCGCGGGCTGGGTACGGTGGCGGTGGCAGAGGGCTGGCAAGTGGAGAAAGGAGCAAGCCTCCTCCCAACGAAACAAGCCCAGCCCCCTGGAGTCACGGCCACACCTGGGTTGCTGAGGGAAGGCCTGGCACTGTGAGCCATAGGCGGCAGGTTCTCGCGAGGCATGGGGCTGTCAGCCACCCACTGGGAACCCCAGAAGGCCTGGCTCAGCCCTGGACCGAATCTCCCGCAGCCAACCACACAGCCGCTCCAGCCAGGCTCCTCCTCAGCCCCGCTCTGAGCAGCCAGGGAGAGGGCTCACCCTAGGAAGAATCAGAGAATAGGAGGAAGGGGCGGCGCGGAGAGGGGGGATAACTGAAGAGGGTGGTAGTGGGGGGGGCAGGGCTCAAGAAACTGGGGGCCAGGGGTCCAGGGGAACCAAGAGAGAGAGAAGATACAAGCAGTGAGGAGGCCTCAGAAAGATCCATGGGCTCTCATCCTTGTCCTCACGGCCGCCTCCACCTTCCCACCCCAGGACCACTTCTCTTCCTAGGAAGGACTTGGGGAGCAATGAAGAAGTCAGCAGAGGAAAGGGAGAGGCAGGAGAGCCCTGAGAACACAAGCTGACTGCGGGAGCAGAGGAGAGAGGTGGGGGGCATGGTGGAGCCCGGCCACAGGCGAGAGGAGAGGGCTGATGGGTGGCGGAGCAGAAAGGCAGGGTGAACTTTGGAGAGAGGATGCCGCAGGAGCTGAGGGGGATGCTACCGGGCAAGGGAAGAAATCCTGGGTCACCTTCAGATATGAGGAAAATCGGCAAGGCCAGGAGTAGTGACGTTAGAGAGGGGCGGACAGAGACCCTGGAGCAAGACGCAGAGGCAGAGATGAGACAGGCGGAGGGTGAGCGGAGGTAGGGCTGAGAGCAAGCAGAGACTCGTGGAAATGTCGGCATATCAGCCCCCAGGATGGGCAGAAACCTGGCTCCAGGGAGACTCGGAGGCCAGGCCCAACTTTGAGACAGGGAACCGGGCAGAGGGAAAGGGAGGTCAGCCAGAGACAGACAGAGATCCCGGGAGCCAGGCACAGGGTGGCGACCTGGTGTCCCCTCACCTGTGACAGGAGTCTCCATCCCGTGCCCTCACGCTCCAGAACTTGCAGCACAATGAGATACTGCTGTGGGAGGCAGCTGAGGGAGGACAGAGCGCAGGGATGGATGTGATAGCTGGCGGAGAGGAGGGGACCTATGGGGGGGAAGTTGGGGGGAGATGGACCAGAGAAGGAGGCTGAGCCCTGGAATTAACCTCTTCCCTCTTCCTCCTTCCACTGGAGAGAGACAGTGGGAATGGCCTGCCCACCCCTCACCCGCTGTTCCACCTCTACTGAGTCTGGCCTGCTCACAACACAGGGTTCCCTGAGGACAAAGCCTGGTCTCTGTCGGCTGGACCTAACCCAGCCTGACCTGGTGTTCTCAGCCCCTTATCACCTCCCCAGGGCAATGGGAACCGGGCACTGACGCACTGGGCTAACCCCCCAGCTTGTACACCAGGGCCTCAAGTGACCTAGAGCTGGGGACATCCCTTGGGGGGTAACACTTTGGTGTATGTACCTGAAGGAGATGTGGATGTGGGGTTGACGCAGGTTCCCCCCCGCAAGGACACTGGGTATAGGGTACAAGTCCCCTGGAACAGATGTGTGTTCCTGAGTCTAGTAATGGGGCAGTGGAGGGTCCTAGGGAGTTGGGGACCTCGGGGGAGAAGCCACATGTTTAATGGAAACCTCTCCTACCCGGAGGAACTGACCCTTGTCTGTCCTACCCCCCTCCACACTCTAGAGCTATATTGAGAGGTGACAGTGGATGGGGTGGGAGGGGGGAGCTGGGAGAGTGTTCCTGCATGTGAGGGTGTGTGGAAAAGCCAGAGCAGGGGAGTCTGGCTTTGTTTCCTGAACACAATGTCCACTTAGTCATACCAGGCACGGCCTGCTGAAGACCCGACACCTACTGCTTCTGAGAGGTGGCATCGCTGGAGGCCAGGGAGGGGGGCCTTGAGGGCCTGGGGCACTCGGGGACGTCTGCAAAGAAGGGCATGTGAGTATGAGCCCCAGGAAGGTTGGGAGAGGACACCAGAGTTCTACCTGAGGAGGGGGAGACGGACTGCAGAGCCCCCCGCCCCACCCCATGGAACGCAGAGCTTGGGGCCCAGCTGGTGTAAATCCCTGGGCCTGCCAGGCGCCCCAGCCAGCCTCAGCAGCACCTGCACCCTCTGGCAGCCGGGAAGGGAGCAGCCCCCCACCCCCACCCCTCCTCCCTCGGGCCAGGATTAATGCCTCCTGCCTTTCCCCACCCCCTCCCCGTCCCACACCAGGATTAGCGGAGGGTAAAACTTCTGTGTGTGAAAGTGGGTGTGCAAATGTGCGTATCAGTGTGCCTAACAGCAAGTGGGAAAATCTGTGATCGTAAGTGTGTAAGTGTGAACGATCTGCATGTGTGGGGCTAAGAATGCACATGGACGTGCGTTTGGCAGGTCGATAGGGGAGGGTACAGGACTGTGGGTCTGAGTGCAAATCTGCTGTGGTGGCCTGGGAGAATTCCCTCTCCTTTGAGAGGACAGATGGTGGCCACTTCATCGGGAGCATCGCGGGAGGGGCCAAGGGCTCCAGATGTGTCCCCAAAGCAGCACAGCCTCAAGTCCTCAGGAGGATACCTGCCTGGAGATTTGGGGAACAGAAGGAAACCAAGCACTGCATTTGTGCAGAGAGAGGGTAACACAGACATCTTCTTTTTTCTTTTTTTTTTTTTTTAATATTTTATTTATTTATTTGACAGAGAGAGACACAGCGAGAGCAGGAACACAAGCAGGGGGAGTGGGAGAGGGAGAAGCAGGCTTCCCGCGGAGCAGGAAGCCCGATGCGGGGCTCGATCCCAGGACCCTGGGATCATGACCTGAGCCGAAGGCAGACGCTTAACGACTGAGCCACTCAGGCGCCCAACATCTTCTTTTTTTCTAACAAAGGGAGTCATGGAGCTGGGCAGTAGATTCCCGTTGTTGGACATCCCGGCTCCAGCTCCCAGCCCCTAACACTGTGGGACTTCAGGTCAGAGAGGGTAGGCAGATGCTCCCAGCCTGGGGCTGTGTGAGGACAGGCCAGGGTAGAAACGGGTAGAAGGGTGGGGAACCCATGGTTGGGGTGCAGGGGACAGCATCTGACCTGTAGGAGAAGGTGACTCTTGCCCAGTGTGCTCAGCTCACCCTTCAGGTTAAAAATAACAAAGGTAAGGGCCTGGCGGGCACGGGCGTTTGTGCGAGAAGGTCCTGTCTTCCTGCTATCTGCCATACATCAGTTCTTTGGAGGGAAGGAATGTGCCCAAGGACTAAAAAAAGGCCCTGGAGCCAGAGGGGCTAGGGTGACAGACCTTTCATGGGCAAATCTAGAGGCCCTGCTGTCCTCCTGTCACCTCCAGAGCCAAGGGATCAAGGGAGGAGGAGCTGGGAGGGAGGGTCCCTCCGGAAGGACTCCAAATTTAGGCAGGGGGTGGGGGCAGCAGGGTATAAAGGAGATTGCTCCCGAGGACAGACAGACACTCCTCTGAACAAGGTAAGAGGGAGTTTGGGAGACTCTTTGGCCAGTCCCCAGAGCCCCCACCTTGGGGGACTCTGCCTTCTTGGAGAATGGGGTGCAGGGTGGTCTGAGGCCCAAGGGTGCTGCTAGAACTGCCTTGCTCCAACCCCAGGAAGTTCCCACTGATAGCGGGGAGGTTCCCAGGGAAAAACCAGAAACTTCTCTCCTCTGATCTGCCTTTCTTTCCCTGCCTCTGCTGTCCCCTACTTTCTGTATCCTCCATGCTCTGTCTCCATCCTCCTCCCACCTCGGATGGCTTTCTGCTCTTTGTCTGGCTTTATTTTGTCTCCTGGTCTTTGTCAATACCCGTCACTGTGGTACTTCTTTGTCTGTCCCCTTGCCCTTCCTTCCTGGCTGCGTGTTCTAATAGCCTCACCTCTCTCTAAATTACTCTGATCCCACCTCCGCCCCTGGCGCTTTCACTAACTCTGCATCCTTTCTTCGCTGACTCTCTGCATCTTCTCTCTCCCAAATTCCCCATTTGGTCTGTCCTGCTCATCCGGCTCTTTGGGTCGATCCACCTGGCTCACTTCTCCCCAATGGCCCTTCTCCACTGTTCTCTCTCCTTGTCTGGTCTTCCCTCTGCCTACCTGCGTCTCTGTGGCTCCACCCATGGTTCAGAATCTTCAGGATTCTCTGTGAAGAGATAACCAGGTGAGAACCACGCCCAATTTTCTCCTGGGAGCCAGGTTGCTGGACCAGGGCCCCCTGTCTCTCCTCCAGGCAGCTCAGCACCTCCCCGTGCAGACCCTTAGAGAGGCTCCTTCAGCTCCTTCAGTCAGAGGGCAAAGGAAGTAGAACCTGAAGCATGGGGAGGACAGGACCCAGGCCCGGATCTTCTCAGTGGGAGGGAAGAACACAGCGCCAGGTGGTGAGGAGGTGTGGCCAGGAGTAGGTGCCACCCACTGAGGCTTGGGCCCTCCTGTCGCAGGCACGGGGAAGCACTAAAATGACTGATGCGCAGATGGCCGATTTTGGGGCGGCAGCCCAGTACCTCCGCAAGTCAGAGAAGGAGCGTCTGGAGGCCCAGACCCGGCCCTTCGACATCCGCACTGAATGCTTCGTGCCCGATGACAAGGAGGAGTTTGTGAAGGCCAAGATCTTGTCCCGGGAAGGGGGCAAGGTCACTGCTGAAACAGAGAATGGCAAGGTGTGTGGGGCATAGTGCCAGGGAAAGGGAGAGAAGGTTTGGTGGGGGTTGCATTGGGGGGGGCACTTGCAGTGGGAGCTGAAGGCTCTGGAGAAGAGCCAAAGTCAGCAGGAGTGCAGGACATGCCCCCTCGAGGAACCCAGCTCTTCGGTGAGAACTCTGACGTTTCTCAAATGGACCTGAGCGGGTGTAACAGGGCACCACACCAGGGATGTGTGCCCTTTGCCAGATATGGAGCTGGGGCAAGGGTGGGGGGACCTCCCCTGGGATCTGCCTCAGCAGGGTCCTGGAGATAAAGAAGACACAGACACCGCGTCAAGTAAAGTTCCCTCTTGAATGTGTGTCCCGTCTCTCTGTGCCTCAGTTTCCTCCATGGACCAACTCCCCCAAATCCACCTCACTGAAACCAAGAGCAAACTCTTAGACCCAGATGAACGCAAAAAGCAGGAACTCTTGAGCTGAACGCTCAGTCCCGGGGCTGGTGACTAGCCCTCAGAAGTCCACAGTACCTGCTTCCTCACGCAAGCCGTGAGAACTGCCACTGGTCACTAGCAGCAGCTCACAACTGTCTGCCTTCACACATACCAACTGAATGTTGGGTCCCAACGAGGTGTGCAACGACAGGCCACGATCTGCTGGGGGCTTTGACTCTGATCCCGGCTCTGCTACTGGCTATCTACCAAGCTGGAAAACCGTTTAACTATTCTAGCCTAGCTTCTGCTACGTCAAAAACAATACCAGAATACCTACCTGCAGGGTCTGATCACATCAGGGCATGGCGAACTGACTGGTACCAATCGAACCACACTGATGGTGACCAATGGGGAGTGTAGGGTTGGTAGGTGAGTTGTTTTCCAGCAGGGCACGGTTTGCCCTGAGCAACTGATGCCCACAAGCAATGCCCCCAGGAGTCAGGGTAAGGTGTGTGCACAGACTGGAGAGCTGCCAGCCCCGCCAAGTTTGCCCCTAGATGCTTGAAGCAGGGACAGAAAGGTGCTGCTCATGCGCACAAGCCTTGGGCACTGGCAAGACACAGAGACCCTAGCAGGAAGGGACAGTGAGCAGTAAGTTGTCTGGGGAGAGCACTATGGGGGAGCCACGGGGCAGGGCTTGGGCACTGGTCAAAGAAGAGTTGGGGGAGCGAGGCCAGGTAGTGGCCCATGTTCTGGGAGGAGGTAGGTGGGCGAGGCTGGTGAGCGCCGACTGGCAAGGTGGGAGTGTGGTCATCCCTGTCTATGCACCCACCCCAGACGGTGACCGTGAAGGAGGACCAGGTGTTGCAGCAGAACCCGCCCAAGTTTGACAAGATCGAGGACATGGCCATGCTGACCTTCCTGCACGAGCCCGCCGTACTCTTCAACCTCAAGGAGCGCTACGCCGCCTGGATGATCTACGTGAGTGCATGTGGCAGGAAGCCAGTCCTGGATGGAGGCTAAAGTAGGCCAGGGCAACTCTCTCAAGGCGAGGGGTCAGAACTCTCCCAAGGGGCCCAGCTCCCCTCTGCCCCCTTCCTACCCCTGGTCAGCTGCAGGAAGAGAGGAGCCAGTGGGGGTGACCAGGGACTCCCCTGCCTGTCACCACCTGCCCCAGGCTTCCCCCTCCAGCCCCTCATGCCTGCCCTCTCTCCTGCTCCAGACCTACTCGGGCCTCTTCTGTGTCACCGTCAATCCCTATAAGTGGCTGCCTGTGTACAACGCCGAGGTGGTGGCCGCCTACAGGGGCAAGAAGAGGAGCGAGGCGCCGCCCCACATCTTCTCCATCTCTGACAACGCCTATCAGTACATGCTGACAGGTGAGTCTGGCAGCCCTGACCTGTGACCCACCCCCTCAGCCCCGTACCGGTGGACTTGACCCTGTTGCCTCTCCTCTTTTCTCTTCCAGATCGGGAGAACCAGTCCATCCTCATCACGTGAGCAAATGCCATCCACCCACCTAGGGATTTGGCAGAGACCCAGGCTGATTCCTGGGGGTGCAGAGGGGAGGAAAGGTTTAAGGTTGTGATTGCAAGGAGTGCGGGGAGCTGGGCTCTCAGGAGGGATGTCAGGTGACCTACAATGATATGCAAATTCTGCAGGGCCCTGGGTCCTGGTGCAGGAGGTTAGAAGGCCAGGATTCTGAGGGAGGAGGGTGCAGTGGGCTGAACTCCAAATGGAGCTTAGGGGAAATCTTGGATTCTGATGGGTCCCTCTTGCCTCAAGTGGAGAATCTGGTGCAGGGAAGACTGTGAACACAAAACGTGTCATCCAGTACTTTGCCAGCATCGCGGCCATAGGTGACCGTGGCAAGAAGGACAATGCCAGTACAAACAAGGTACGGGGTGGGCCACAGGCTCAGCAGAGGGGACCTGGGGGCAGGCTGACCCAGGTGATCCCTAGCCTTGCCCTGAGGAACAGTGGGGACAGCACTACCGAGGCCAGTGCTCAAGACCTTCCTGGCGGGTGCCTGGGTGGCTCAGTCGGTTAAGCATCTGCCTTCAGCTCAGGTCATGATCCCAGGGTCCTGGGATCAAGTCCACATCAGGCTCCCTGCTCTGTAGGGAGCCTGCTTCTCCCTCTGCCTCTGCCTCTTTCTTTTCTCTCATGAATAAATAAATAAAATATTAAAAAAAAAAAAAAGACCTTCCTGGCAGGAGATACACACTCTGGTGTCTGTATATGGCCCTTCGGAGCCACAGACCCACCTGCAGTCCATCCAGCCCCACCCCCATTCCCCAGGACCAGAGCAGCCCCTGTCCTCCCTACTGCTGGAGATGGACAGAAGATAAACCCTCGGGGTTCTGCTGCTTTTACAGGGCACCCTGGAGGACCAGATCATCCAGGCCAACCCCGCCCTGGAGGCCTTCGGCAACGCCAAGACCGTCCGGAACGACAACTCCTCCCGCTTCGTGAGTGCCTTTGACAGCTGCCCACTGGCCTCATTTGGTCTCGACAAGAAAAGGGGGGGTGCTGTTTTGTCAACAGTCACTACACCCAGTTGATCATCCTGTGTTTGGCTTTGGGATATCAACAAGCATGCGGTGCACCAGCCTGTGCGTGTGCACACACACACACATACACACATACACTCAAACCCTCCTGACTCAGCCTGGCTCCCTGAGGTCGGAGAATTCAAGAAAAGAGACCCAGAGTCACCATAGCTATTCCATAGCCAAGTAATGGAGCTGATGTGTCACATTCTAGATTTTCCAAATGACTTTTTCCGGAACTCTTCCAGAACTCTTTCCAGAACTCTTGGAAGTGGGAAGAGAGCATAGGTACTGGAGCCAATTCTCCAGCATCCCACCCGCCCAGCAAGTCCCCACACCTCTCTAAGTCCCAGTTCCTTTATCTATGAAACAGAGGTAGCAATATTTACCTTGCAGGTTACTGAAAGGATTGAGATCATATCAGAGGTACAAACGGGAGGCATTGTATCTGTGTTCATTCCCGTGTTGTTGTTTCTGCTCAGAGATACTTAGTAATATGGAGATAAGCATGCTTTCCCCTGTTTTACTGAAACTAAACTGGGACACCAAATAGGTCATTAACATTTCCAGAACTACCCAGGGCTTTCTGGATTGTGTTGAGGTCCAAGATCTCCATTCTGTCCCTTCTGGCCAGTTCCCTGACTCTTTGTCCCATCCACCCCCAGGGGAAATTCATCAGGATCCACTTTGGAGCCACTGGAAAGTTGGCTTCTGCAGACATAGAGACCTGTGAGTATGGCAGGGAGCCCTGCACACCCCTCTGTGTCTTCCGCCTCTGTGTTCTTTCCCAGCTGGGCCACCCTATCTCAACATTCCCTCTCCATCTTTCCTCTTCCCCTGGCTCTGTCCATTTTGCTATAAGAGCATTTCTCCCCTAATCTCCACCCTTTTGCTGGACCAACTCTCTCCCCGTCCTTACCTGCCTTCCTCCCTTCTCCTCACTTCAGATCTCCTGGAGAAGTCCCGGGTGATCTTCCAGCTGAAGGCTGAGAGGAATTACCACATCTTCTACCAGATCCTGTCCAACAAGAAGCCAGAGCTGCTGGGTGAGCCTGCCTAATGCCTCAGTGCCCCCATTGCCCTCCCCAGGCGGGTTGGGTGTCCTCCTCCTGCTCACCTGCCCCTGTTCACCTCTCTCCTCCTTCAGTCTGCTTAGGTCTTCTCTTCCTTCCCCAACTCAGATCTGCCTGCAACTCCTCTCGCCTCTCTTCCCACTCTTTCTTTGTCATATTTCTTCTCCTCCTCCTGGTTGGTTTTCCCCTTCTCCTCCTTGTGCCTCCCCTGCTCCCAGGTGTCATTCTCCCACTGTCTTCCCTCCCCAGTCCCCTGCCTACTTTTTCATGTCTTTTGGATTCTCTGCATGGTCCTTGCTGACTCTCCTCCTCTCTCCCTGCTCCTGGTCCTCTCTTCCATTGTCCCTGCCCCACCCCCACCGTGCCCTTCTCCCAACCCCTCCCTGCCCGTCCCCTTCCCTGCTCCTTGCCTGGACAGACATGTTGCTGGTCACCAACAACCCCTACGACTACGCCTTCGTGTCTCAGGGAGAGGTGTCCGTGGCCTCCATCGATGACTCCGAGGAGCTCATGGCCACAGATGTGAGTGAGGAGGCAGCATGAGAGCTCCTGAGGGTTCCTGCGCCACCAAATCCAACCACCCTCTTTGCCTCTCTTGCTCTGTCCTAGAGCGCCTTTGACGTGTTGGGCTTCACTCCTGAGGAGAAAGCTGGAGTCTACAAGCTAACAGGCGCCATCATGCACTACGGGAACATGAAGTTCAAGCAGAAGCAGCGGGAGGAGCAGGCCGAGCCAGATGGCACCGAAGGTGCGGGCAGGTGCTGAAAAGGCCTGAGGTGCTGGGTGTTCACCTGTCATGAGGACATAGTCCACTGGGAGCAGGGTCTCCTGTTCTATGTCCAAAAGTGGTGCTTTTCAACAATTCTTGAAGAGCTAGGCTGACAACCTAGTTTTATTAAGGTTATTAGGACCATGACAGCAAAAGTGGGAGGAAACCAGAAGTATGACAAGCACGTGGGCAGTGGGCAGTACCTCTTCCCAGGGGCAGGGCCCTCACACTATCCAGCCCTACCTCTAGGCTTTCTCCTTGTTAGATCCTTGTCAGAGGCCACCCACTGTCCCCAGACAGGCTGGTTCTTGACGACCTGAGGCCTGTGGGGTAGATGGATGGGGTGAGAACCAGGGAGGGGCAAGGATGTGTGAGAGATGGGCAGACAGGGAGCCCCCTACAATCCTGCCAAATCTTCAACCCCAGCTGCACTGACCAGAAGTGAGTTCAGGATGTCTCCTCCTGGGCCCAAGACTCACCCAAGCTCAGGAAAGCACAGACTCTAGAGCTCTGCACATCCTGATCATTAATGCAGCGTGTATGTGGAGCATGCCCAGCCCTTGGATGAGCCCCTTTCAAGCCCTGTGCCATGTTCTGTTTGGGAGGTAAGGGCCAGGGGTCAGGATATAGCTTGGCATTAATATGTCGCATACCTCCCTGGGCCTCAGTTTCCTCCTTAGTGAAATGGAACAACAGTCCTTTCTAGCTCACTCTGGGGCTGTTGTAAGAATTTGTTGAGAAGGAAATGTCAAGGTGTGAACAGGGCTAGCTAGACAAATGCCCAAGAACATTCCTCTTAGCCTACCTTCAAGGACCCCTTCTGTGTCTATCCAGATCAAAATGCCAAGCCTGGGTTTCATGACAGGATGTCATCAGCTATCACAAAACTCTTGAAATTGAATCAAATACATTTTCTCTAAATAGAGATCATATGTTGGATGGCACAGGTGGAGAGTTAGGGTGGGAGGGGTAACATGCTGTTAGGAACCTTGATTTCAAGTTGTTCACCACATAGATTAAGAGTGGAACAGGCCCAGTCCTGGATCAGATCCTGGGTTGGGAGCAAAGGAGGCAGGGAGCAGCGCACATCTCTGTCAGACACAGTCCCTGCCTTGGAGACATGGGAATGTGCTCATAACAATGCTGGTCAAGGGCCTGGACCAGGGACACCGAGCAGATGTTAAAGACAGAGACGACAGGAACTGCTGGGTGGTGGGAGGTTCTGGACAGACGAGGAGGCCTGGGCTCCAACCTGATTCTGCACACTGGCTACGTGCCCCCTGGCAAGCCTCGTGCCCTTCCAGGCCTGGATGTGCAACTCTTAAGTGAAAGCGGATGGACCCGATGCTTCAGAAAGGCTCTGGCCCTGGAGCAGGGAAAGAGGGTCTGCCGAAAGTGCTTGCTTACTTCTTTCCTTCTCCACCAGATGCCGACAAGTCTGCCTACCTCATGGGGCTGAACTCAGCTGACCTGCTCAAGGGGCTGTGCCACCCTCGGGTGAAAGTGGGCAACGAATACGTCACCAAGGGGCAGAGCGTACAGCAGGTGTACTACTCCATCGGGGCACTGGCCAAGGCAGTGTACGAGAAGATGTTCAACTGGATGGTGACACGGATCAATGCCACCCTGGA